TTGTGTGTGTGTGTGTGTGTGTGTGTGTGTGTGTGTGTGTGTGTGTGTGTGTGTGTGTGTGTGTATGTGTATTTCATTTACACTGTAGGCCTATACATGTATTGTGTTATGTGTCTTATTTCAAAGTTACTGTACCTATTATTCTTGAACTCAGTAATCGAGAACACGGTGTCTGGAAAGGACAATGAATATTGTTGTATTTATTATGAAATGGAATTTTTGTTATTACTATAGATCTACCCTTTTGAAGGGTGCATTGGAAGAAGAGGGATTGTCAACTTTTCACATTTTTGTGATAAGCTAATGAGTTGGTATCTCATAATGATGGACTTGTCCACATATAAATCTGACTTTAAAAATTGGGAAGAGCCACCAGGTACGCCATGTTTAAAAGTACCGTGTTCTATGCAAGAAATGAGAAAATCAAACTGTAAAATCGTTTGTTTTTTCTCAAAAGTGAAAAACATTACATTACCCCTTTTCCTTTGCCCATTTAGTTTTTGGTTGGATGGGACAGAAACGTTTGCAGGGCATAGAAGGTGTTGTCTGTGGTATTTGTTTCATAGGTTATCCCTTGCATCACAATAAGGTAAAATGAGAGATATTACAGGTAGTAGTGCTGCTATAAGATCACTAGGTGGGCAAGGGACTACGGATACGGGGGCTCCTGTGTGCCCCTTGCAACTGGAATGACCTTTAGTTAATATTTACATCCCTTGCAACACAATGAGGTTATTTGAGAGACGCCATCTCAAATTTCAACATCAGTCTGCCATAGAACATTGACTTCATGTGAGCCAGGTATCAAAGCCCATCGAAGCTCTGAAATTTTTATATTTTTTTTTTGGGGGGGGGGTTTCTTATCGTCTCCTGTGGGATCTGAGCCAAGGAGGACCTTCTGCTCTGCAGGCGAGTGACTTAGCCCTGAAATTTAGATTAGATTATGGAGATTTAGAACTTAATATGGAGATACGACATTTGTACTTTGAGGCATTAAGTTCAATTTTTCAGAAACCTAGATTTTCTTAAAACAAAAACTGCTTCTCAATTCCATAGGAAAACAGCAATCTGTGAAAACTTTAAAAAATGAAACATTGATTATACTCACAAACAATGGGTAACAGTTAGATAAATGAGTTGGTGTTTGATTTGAATAAGGAGCCATCTTAAACTTTGAAGGCTTATTTCTCAAAACCGGAGTGCGTGGACATATGACAGTTGTACTTTGGGCCGACGAATTATACTTCCAAGATAAGAGAGGGATTCAACATCTAGAGCATTTCCTTCTATATTGTGACTTGCTCCTTTTGTGGTGCAACTATCCTAAGGACCTTTGACTTTCCGAGGAAGGTCCTCATTCCATCAGATCTGATAGGCTGTTTAAAACTGAAGTCGTTGCTTGCATCAGTTTTTTTTGTGTGCGACAGAATTTCCAGGTCACCAGCAAAGTTCAGATCGTCCAACTGTGTACAGAGGGTCTAGTGAGTGCCGCTTCTGTGCCCTCTATAGTGATTTCCTTCATTAGCCAAAATGAAGAAGACAGGTGATAGCAAATATCCGTGCCTCACTGCACCAATCTTCATGTCAAACCTATCAGTGAGGGAAGAGGAATAGAAAGAGAAATTGAGGGAGACAGACTCTGGGAGATATAGATATATAGATAGATAGATAGATAGATAGATAGATAGATAGAGAGAGAGAGAGAGAGAGAGAGAAGGGGAGGAATGAGGTGTGAAACGACTGGTTCTTGTAGATGTCATTCAACATTGTGTTGTTGTTTTACCAGTGCTGTGTTA